AAACCCCTAATGCTCTTGTACACAAAAGCTTACTATATAAATGAAGGAGAGGTAAATAACCTGATCTTAATTGTATTTTCAAAGCCAAACCACATGAAAATAGAGTGGACTTTTAAGGTGAAAACTACTATATATGCCTATAAAATGAAACTGAACATTATTAGTATTATTTTTTTGAACATTATTTTTAAAGGAAAAAAAAATGCCTTAAATTGAGTAAGTGTTCTCAACTCTGTTAAACCTATAGATTCTGGCAGGCAGGTCCTTCAGTCCCACATACATGTTGGAAATGGCTCAAGTGTTATACACACTTTATTTAGCACTATTTTTAGAAGTAGGCTGTAAATAAAAATCTGACCAAATTAAACTCTTTATAGTTCCATTTTACTCTAGCCAAATACACAGTAGCTGAATTATTTAAGCGAATTCTTTCTCAGTCTGAGAGCTGACAGTAGTGGGCATGCCTGCAATCCCAGCACTCAGAGGCTAAGGCAAGAGGATGGCCTCACAAAGTTAGTTTTCCTCCTTTTAGAAGAGATTGTGTAGATCTGAGGTGCTATGTATTCTTTAAGTTACAGGGAGAATTTGCCAGTGAAACAATCCCTGTGTGGACACTTCTTCTGTGGAAGGCTTCTAACAGTCCAGCTGTCTGGAACCCGCCACACCACTCGTTTAGCTCTTGTCCCTTCCAGTGTTAGGTGTCCAAGGGTCCTCACTGCTACCAGTTATTGTCGCCTCCACTGCACAACTGGTTGGGAACCAGGGCACGAGAAAAGGAAGAAAATAATAGGAAAGAAAAGTGGGTTCCCTAGCTCTCTGCATCTGGGACCCTGTCCCATTCCTCGACCTGGAATGAAGGGCTCTGGAGTTTCCAGTATGCAGCGCTGCTCCACTGTGGACTTCAGGCTGTCTGAGGTCCAGTCCAGGGGATGCCAGAGGAAAACAAAGCACACACCGACAGCCAGTTTGCAGGTACTTTGCATTCTTACGCTCTCCTCCAGCTCATCTGCTGTATTATGTACTTTTCAGGGATCTCAAGTAGCGGCTCTCTGTGCATTCTGGTCTTACAGTTGCATTCCATGGAAGAGATGGGATGGAATATGGAGTGTGCACAATTCACCTTTCCTGGAACTGGAAATTCAATGACTTTATATTTAAGGTGTATTTCCTACAGACAGTATTCAGTTCTTGGTTTTACTTGGTGTATCTCTGCCTTTTAACCGGCATGACCATTCACAATGAATGTAACTATCAACTGTCTAATGTATTATCTTTGCATTTCTATCCATCTGTTCCTTTTCTCCTGTTTTCTTTTGAACTAAACAATTTTTTTTCTTTTGGTCTTTTTGAGACAGGGTCTCACTATGCAGTTCAGGCTGGCCTTGAGTTCATTTTGTAGCCCAGGCTGGTCTCGAACTCGTGCCTCAGCCTCCCAAGTGCTGGGATTACAGGTGTGCGCCATCATGCCCGGCTTGCGCTAAAAAACTTACAGGAATCCACTTTACCCCTCCTTCTAGGTTATTAGCTGTACCTAGTAGGCAGTCCAAAATTTGTTAGCTCTTGTTCTAGGAGGTACAGTGTGTAATTTATTGTAGTTTGCCTTCAAATATTAAATCACTTCATGTATAGCGTAAGAATTTCATGTTTTCATGTTATCTTTTTGTTTTATTGTTTCCACGCATTTTACTCCTCCATATTTTGAAATCCACAATATGTTTGCTTTGTACTTCACTATGCTTTGAAACCCACAATAATGTGTTTTTGCTTTAGTCAGTTATCTTTTAATAAACTAGAAAGAGAATATAAAGTCTTTTCTGTGGGCTCACAATTTACCATTTTTGCCATTTTACATTGCTTTATTCAGATCCGTTTCTGTTCAGTAAAGCTTCTACCTGAGGAACCTACTTTGTACATACCTTGTGTAGTGGATTCACAATTGGTGGTCAATGTATAACCCCCCAGCTGAACTGAGTAAGGTGGTGCTGGGTGTGGGAGGCCCACCTGGGGACTGTTGCCAGCAGCATAACAGGCAGAACTAGAGAAGTCAGGGTGTTGGGAACTGAAAGGCTGTTCAAGCTGGTAGAAGCTGTAAGGAGCTGCTGGTTTTCTTGGAGGAGCTTGTCATGCCTGTTTTCCTGATGAACTTGGCTGTTTTCATCCTCCAAGGAGCTCGGGACCTTGTTGTCATTGAGAATGGCTTTGGTTCACTTTGGGGGAGCTCTAGTCATCATTCTGAGCACTGCCTCCTGGCTCCGGAGGGGAAGAAGGTGCATTGCTGTCTCCTGGAGAAGCTTGTTGCACTGGCTTTCCTGATGGGAACTCAGCTTTCCTGATCATGGGAGGAGCTCAGGACCTCACTGCTGCTGAGGACGGCTGTGGTATCTTTCAGGGGAGCTCTGGTTCTTACTTTGCATGTTGCTTCCTGGTTCCAGTGCAGATTCCTCAGCCTGCTAGCACTGATCCTTCATCCCGCTGGCACAGACTTTCTAGATTCCACCACTGACCTTTGGGCCTTCTCAGTGCAGATCCCTGCAACAGGCCGGCATGAGACACTGTCATGGGCTCAAGGCCTCCAGTTGGATTCATAGGAGGCATTGCTATGGGCTCTAGGTCTTCAGCTGGACTCATGCAGGACATTTCCATGGGATCCAGGCCCTCAGCTGGATTCTTGGTCTATAGTGTGTGGACAGATTTCCTGCACTTTCTTGTATATCATTCTTGTGATGACTAATATACTCTTACAAAATGTGTCCTGCATTACATTGTTCTTCCTTACAATAAAACCCAAACCATGACACCTGGTATTGCCCGTCTGTTCAGTCTCTTCCTTCTGAAAAAGTCTATATAGTTCTTCTACATATAGAATCTAGGTTGACAGTTTCTTTCAGCACTCTGAAAATGTCCTATGATTATCTCCTGACAGTTATGCTAAGGATTATTAGGTAAAGAATAGTTGCAAATTTAAAATTTCACTAGTCATCAAACAATACTTTGTTGTAATTAGGTACGAGAAAATTCTGAGACTCATCAAACTCAAATACTATCTTAAATTTCCCCCTAAGATTAAACCACAAATAGACTAGCACTCTTTATACTGCTAGTAGTAAGATGGCAAAGATCACAATGAAGAAGCACTTTCAATTTCCAGATGCCAACACAAATGCCAGAAGTATACCACACCGAGGCAAAGCAAACACAAGAATGAGGATTTAACCTTTAACTTCAATGCCTAGTGTTCCATTTTTTGGAAGGCCTATAACAATGGAACATAATACAATTTTTTTTCTTTGAATTCCTGTTCCTTGAATTTTGCTAGGTAAAATATAGGAATTTCAAGGCAAAAACTGTAATCTTCGGCATAAATACGTTAAAAATGATTCATTTTTGTTTGCCTCATTTCAGTTTTGCTGTGCTCAAGTTTTCTGGAGACAGAGAAAATGACAGCATCAGGATTTTATTCCCATAAAGGGTACTGTGGCCTCAAAGTGAGAAAATGACAACAAGAGGCAGCTTTTCTCTAAGGGTTTTCCTTGCATCCATTCAATTTAATGTATGCATCAACAGCGAAACCAAAGCTGTCACAATTTTATGAAAGGCAAATCAGGACAGTGACCATCTCAGCTCTAAATGAAACAGTTCAACATAGACAACACCGAAGCCCCTCTGTCACCTGCCCTAATCAGGTCTGCCTTCCTCAGAGGAACCCTCTGTGTGAACTTAGTGGTTATCGTTCTTCAGTGTTGCTCAACTTTTTCTAACTTTATATATGTACAGTTTTTACATTTTAAAACTTCATATAAATGTATCCTGTAAAGTCACTGTGCAAATTTTTTACTCAGTGTTGCTTTTAACATTTATTCTGTTCTGCAGTGCTGCGGACAGTGTTGTTTCTGATAAACACACATACATGTAACTTATCTTCTCTAGTGGTTTTATTCTACTTAGCCACTGTATCTATCCATCTTCTGATGGACACTCAGGTTGTTTCCAATCTTTCATTTCAACAAACTATTATAAAGATTTCTGTACACACTGTGGGAAAGACTGTTTAGAATACAGACTTAGATACTTTCTGGGTTGTAGGGATCCACTTAGACTTAATTTGAAGCATTAAACTATTTTAAGTTACACCAAATAAAACTAACAGCAAAAGGGTATGAAAGTTTCATTTAGCTGTAATATTGCAGCTTTTGCATTGATTGATAAGCTTTACGTACTTTTCTCCCTCCCAGCAAGTTGATGGACAAGAAAGTGTCTCATGGTTCTAGTTATTTAGCTTTTCCCTAATTTAATAGTGTTGTGGTATCTTTTTACTGAAACCTATACATTCAGCACATCTATCCTCCAGAAGGCTTTTGGTAAAAGTAGGATAAGAAGACTTTTATGCAGTAAGAGTTAAAATAATTCCATAATAATTCTAACCTTTGGAGCTGAGTATGTAGGAGAGAACTACAGGTGCTAATAATATAAATGAACCACCAGTGAGGCAAAAACAAAGGACTGTAGAATCCAACCAGCTCTTGAACCCTGTCTAAGATGTGAACAGGTGGCCAGGAGACAGAGGGAATTCTAGACAAATCTATTTTGAACACAGTAACTGACTGAGATTCTCTTTAACTTACAATTCTATTGATGATGTTCCCTTTCAGTCACTTGGGAAATGAAAACATTTTCTTTTGGTTTTATTTGCATCTTATTAGATGATGGTTATTTTATTTACTAATAACATAATACCATAAATGTAGTACTGTGATGTATTAATGTAGAGGAAAATGTTCCTAACTATTTTGTGGTATTTCTGAGCTACGCACTCTATTTCAAGAAGCAGAAGTTAGATTTAAAATTATTTTTTAGAAACGTCTTCAATGATATAGACGGCAAACTCAAAGACACCTTAGCATGTGTTACATTGTTCCAAACACAGTGAACACATAAAATATGGCTGTAAAATGAGTAACTTGTTTATTTACGGTAGGTATACCTTTCCCTTTTTTCCTTACCTGCTTTAACTGAAAATGGCTTTTCTAGTAGAAATACTGTTTGTTTCCAGTGTGTTTTGGTACTCTGGGGTCCCGTAGAGAACATGACCTGCATTGGTAAAGTTCAAAAGTATCTGATGAAGTACAAGATTTTTAATATCATGGTACATTAATCTACTAAATCAAATACAACCTCCAATTGCTTCTAACAGCAAAATGCTTATGATCAAACACCTTGGGGCACAAAAATAGAACATAATGTACTCTGCATAATTAATTCTTATGAATAACTCATGATGAGTAACTCATGATACTTACCCTTTTGCGGCAATTCTTCTCAAAATAGATATCAAAGTAGCCAGCAATTGCCTGTATTTTTTTAAGACAGGGGGAATACAAATGATTATTAAACTGATACAATAATTATTTTATCTTTTAAGACATGGTAAATAGTGTATCATTTCAAAGACCAGATGCTTCTTAAACTTACAGCAGCTCACTCTTTTTCCTAGGAAAGATGTTGTAATAAAAAATGAATATATGTACCAACTCCCCACAAAGAGTTAAAATCATTATACAATGCAAGCATGTACTAATAAAAAATAACTGAAAAAAATGTTACAAGAAAGGTGAAGTAATAGAATTTGAGGGTAACAGGCAAATCAAATAATCAATGCACATTTTATTAGAGAAATGATCAGGCTAGAGAACTGAAGATTAGAGACGAGGGAAAGAGAGAGGTCCAGCTGGTCCTGAGCAGCCCCAGACTCTCCACTGTGAGGCTGACACGGGCCACTGTGGGCCATCAGGACCCCGCTAGGCCTCCAGCCACATTCACTGCAGAATGGACCGCAGGAGTGACCAGCAGAATCATAAACAAGTAAATACAAATGTGGCCTCAAGAAAAGACATTTTGGGGATGGCTTAATGCACAGCAGTTATGGAAACAGATTCTTCTATACAAAGCCAGCTCATTAATTTCTACTGATTTAGTATATCTAATTTTAAAATACTAATAATATTTTTGTGATAGAAGGAATAGAAATAATTTTGAAATGTCAGCTTTTCCCAGAAACAAAAAAAAGAAAAACAAAACCCAAAACTTAAAATAAAACTGATGCTTCAGGTAAAACTCTGAAGTCTAAGGATTACTGTAGTAGTACAAAACAGTCCCCAATGGAAAACAACACACTGAGATGAACATACAATTTTTTTGTTTAAAATTTAAACCATACCTTTTTTTCTTTCACTAATGGGACTAGTTTGACTTAAATGGTTATTAAAAAGGGCCTTAACTTAAGCTTATAAAGTGTTAAAAATAAACACTGATTACTGAAAAAAAATCACTATAAAACATCTGTGCACTCTGCTGCTTTCCTGAAGAATGTAAAGTTTTATTGATCTTGTTGGGTTAATCTGGGTTGAGTTCAAAGCATACTCAGTATTTAAGCTTGACATTTACTATATTTTACCAAAAAGGAAATGAATACTATGCATACCCTTGCCCGATAAAATTATAAAAAATGTGCTAATGAGCTAGATTATCAAATGAAACCATGTAATCAGAACATATTTCTAAAACACCTTTTCTCAATGCGTTTTTAGTACTTCAAATACTCCTCCAGACTCACTCAGTTATCTTCTTCCATTTACTCCTGTATGCCTGTCTTGTTCATCATTTCATACTTAGTGCCCAGAGCAGTCCCTGGCCCACAGTGCGAAACAGATGCTTGCTGAATGGATGTGCTTATTATGTATAACTTTATTATATGATATTCCACATCTTGTGTCATAATTATAATTCATGCTATGATTTAAGAGCAGGACCTAGGTTTAATTTTTTATTTCTAGACATCTCACCTAGCAAAATTGTATACAGAAAGTTCTCAAAAACTTTTAGCGAATTAAATTTTTTAAATCTGGTCTCTTAAATGTAGCTATTACTATATGGTAGGATAATTTATTAAATCACTATCCTTTATATATTAAGAGGCTACAAATTAGTAACACTACACCAAAGAAATGAACATAAATTAAAAGCAGAAAATTTATAAAAGAAAAATCAAATGATTCAGAAGCATGTGAAAAAAGTATGATCTATACAAGCGGGGGAAAAAAAGTAAAACCACCAGATGCAACTCTCCTCTGGGGAGGGAAAGAGGCTGGAGGCTGAGCTAATTACTAATGGCCAATGACTGAATCAATCACAGCAACGCACCAGAACCTTTATTAAAAACCCTGAACAATGACAAGGTGTGGGGGTTTCAGGGTGGTCGATATAATTCACATGCCAAAAGAAAGGTGCTCGCTGCCTTCATAATCTGGATCCTTCCAGACGTTACTCTTTGTACCTTTTTATTTATTTTTATAAAGGTACCTTTGTATCTTTATTATTTTTATTAATAAAAGCATTTATAATCTCTTTTGTAATGATAAACCAGTACAAGTAATGTATTGCTCTGGGTTCTGTGAACTATTACAGTAAAGTACTGAAATTGAGAAGGAAGATGTGAACATCCTTGGTTTGTAGCCAAGAGGGACAGAGTGTGGCTAACCTGGGACCACCACCTGTGGCTGGTGTCTGAAGAGACAGTCTTTGTGAGACAGAACCTTTCATCTGTGAAAACCCCAAATGTGGTGCCACAAGTGTTACAAGTAGAAAACAGTTTACCTTTAAATATCTTTCACCATCACAAGTAACACTTAAGAAGTCACAATATACTTTAAGTAGAAAGCATCTTGACAGCATGTATGTTATGGGCATACACTGTATGCTGTACAAATCTATGTAACTGGAAAGATATTCACCAAGCTATTGATGGCAGGTGATAGACTTGTAGTATTCATTTTCTTTGTGCTTATCTACACTTGTATTTCCAACAAAAATGAACAGCTACTGTGAAAATGGATTGTTTTTATAATATTAAGTTTAACTTATAATATATTCAATTTAACTGCTGCCTCTGTCTCGGTCCCCTCCCTTTGTGGCCATCCCACCCATCACTCATCTCTGCGCCCTCAATGGGGCAATGTTGAACATGTAGCAAGAAGGAACTATGTGGATTTGGGAAGAACAATTCTACAATAATAATGTTTTCCAATGAAGAGATTAAAACCAAGCAGAATAGTAGTAAGAATTGTTGAACTATATGAAAACATTAAAAAAAGGTTTAGACCTGAGTCTGAAATACACAAAATACATGGAGTAATGTGCTTTTCAACTCTCACACAGCAACAACAAAACAACAGGGGGACATTAAGACAGGCTGATACTGAACTTCATGAAATTTAAAACTGTTTCCCAATCCCCAAATCTGTGAATTTTAGTTAAGAATCAAAGAAGAACCAAATCCTACTATAACACCCCACCCCAATAATAAAGTAAGAGAAATATTTAGGTAACTAACATCAGAGATAAGCCTCAAGAGAAAGGAAAAAATGAAAATAAGAGATTTAGTTTTTTTTTGGTTAGGAACATTTAAGAAATCTGAAAATGCATCTATTTTATAGTTCTCTTTGGAATGCATCGTTCTGCCTTCAACTCCTCAAGCAGATTTTCCTTTCTAACGATGTTTCATTTAGAGTACTATTAAAAATCAGTCCTATTAAGATACATGAAGAAGAAAGGAAACTCAGGAGATGAAATGAGGAAGAAATTCACCTGGGCTTAAGAATTAGGTAACTGACTGACTAGCAGCTTTCATATGACTGAGAAGGCGTAACACTCTTACTCTGAAAAAACAAAGGGAAGTTTCTAATTTTAAAATACATTTTAATTCTCAAACACAAGAATGTCCCTTAAAGATACTGGGTTTCTTATTTATTTTTATTTTTTGGCCCTGGAATAGTTTTTCCTTAGCCATGGTTTTGCTATTTGTTTCGCTAGTCAAGCCTGGCTTGAAAATAGTAAATGGAAAATTCCAGAAACAATTAATAAATTTTACGTAACTTTCACTACATTATACTCTTACATTTGTACTATTTATTATTACTGTTAATCTCTCACTGCCTCACTTATAAATTAAAGTTAAACATAGGTGTATTTGTATGTGAGAAATTCCTGATTTTAGAAATCCATAAGGGATGTTAAAACATATCTTCCAAAGGGAAGCAGGACTGCTTAGTAGTTAGACACAAAGTAAAAATAAAGAAAAAAACTTTAAATTTGACATGTACTTATATAAACCTGCTGCACTATGCTTAGTGTTTTTATTTCTGCCAAGCCGTTTGAAAAGAATAGTGATGTAACCAATCAAAGATGCTAGCTAATTTGAGAATTATTTTGTTTAGAGAACACAAATGCTACTATTTTTCAATTAGTTTCACCGCCATGTTACAATCACTTCGACAGGCTACCTTTATGTATTTTAATTTCAAGGAACTTGTATGCTCCCTGTGAAAGTCACTCAAATGTAAGAATAAACAACTATCATCACCAATTAGAAGTGATGACTAACAGGTAATAGCAATAAATAACTGGAGCTACAACTTGACACATGCTTGGAAAGAATCAGGTAAGTGAGAAGCCTGACCACATGATACATTTTCCCTTTGCTTTACATACATTTCTTGTCAGGAGCATTAGGAACTGATGAGGAAAACAAGTGTTGAGATCATGTGCCTTACAGGAGCTGGGCTCATCTGCAAAGTCAAGGTCACAAGACAGTAAAATTTCACTGAATTACGCCACAGTCAGAAAAACTGAGTCCTGAGAGAGGGAAAAATGGGTGGTAATGGTAACAACAATAAACACAACATCTTCTGATGATAGGAAAAAAAAAAAAAAAAAGAAAAAAAGGAAAACTCATACATTTAGTAAATTACTGGAACAGTCTCATAACTCCTGAAATTTGTTGAGACTCTTCCACAATTACGCTGAGCACATAGGAAAACAGTACAAACACACAGCTTTATTGCACGTTGTAAATATATTTTAAGCTCTATAATACAGTTTCAGAACTGCTCATCTCTTTTGTGGATTTCACAAAGAGGAAAAAAAAGCATTAAAATTCTATTTTAAGCCACATTTTGTTTATTCTATATACATTTAGGTGTAAATGCAGCTCATTTTATACATGCTCATGTGAAGCAAATGACATGAAATAAAAATTACTTTTTCATGTACTGGGTGTGATGATGCTTTCTTAAAACAGGACACATCATGTGTGTGTAATGGCCAGTGGAACAGGCTCAGACTAGACCTTCTGAAGAGGGAAATTAAAAATTATCATTATCACTATCACCTGCAGGGAGTAATTTATCATTTCTGTTCTTCATTGGTATCATGTTCCAACAGCGTGTGGTTACAGCAGATACAATTAGGCAGCTGGCCACAGAAGTAGAAGGATAATGTGCTTTTGATGGAGTTT